AGAGGAAGGGCGAACCAACCGGGAGCGAGCAGCTAGTGGCAAGGGTTGAACAACCGAGTCTGGCGTGTTCCGTGCAAGTCGACTCCGACGATCATCCAGATGAGTGTTTGAGCGACAACCAGACAAACTCTGTAATGACCCGAGGTCCTTGCGGGAATTCTCGGCAGCGACCCAGGGCACCTGAAGACGAAAAGCTGGAATGATAATTCACCCGCAGGAGCAACTCTTGGCAATGACTTGAAGGGACCCACCCAACTATTTTCACTTCTGGCAGGTGCGGAGGCATGGGCATTTTAAGATTGGTCGGTGCCCGCAAGACGTTGAATCCAGCACCTGGATTCGACGACCAAGCAGATGAAGAACTTCGCCAGAGCTTCGGGAGGGTGACAAGACCCGCAAAATAAGTTTACAGAAACTGAGTAGGATTTAAGTTCATTTGCACATTTGTATATATTTTTACCGATTTCTAAATATACTTTCTTTAATCCCACAACGGTACAGCAAACTCTTTTTTTTTCATTTGATACGGTGACTGGACGACATTGTTCATGTTGAGAGACTGCGTCATGACTGTGAAGGCCTAGGTAAGGCCTAGGTTGGTTGAAATATTCAAACGAGGTTGCACTGTTTGAGGAGGTATTGAGTCAACCCGCATTATTCTAGAAACAAATTTTGAGTTGCAGATTTTGTGATACTTTACAAGTGCATGACAAAGTTTCTATAGGCGTCCCTAAAGTGTGGCTATCTTATATTTCGTATATAACCGTGTTAAGGTCCTTCGCAAGCGAACCTGTGCGACTCCTCGGTACTCCTGCCAGTCAAATTTGGCGTTGCAGTCTTTCGCGGTGTGGAACCGTTCTGATATGTCTCGGAGTTGAGCGAGGTTGGCTGCTATCATAGGCAGTTTCCCGGATGTGCGCTACTCGCTGCCCAGCACCAGTCTAAACAACTGTTTTTGTGGGACTGGTTCAGCTGGTCTGGCATTGTACGTACCTTTCGAACACGACATTTAACGTTATAAATGCAACAAAGTCTATCGTCTTTTCTCCAACTAGGCTTAAAGGCTTCACTAGTTTGGCGTACAATACAAACAGTATCGCCTACATCAAACTGGCACTGGCATTCTTGAGTACGGCGTCTTTTATTGCACGGAGATGCTCAAGACTATAAAAACACAATGACATGAACTAGAAACCACAAACCTTTGGAAGTGTGCGAGATAAAACCCGCGCGCACATCAGCGTAAACACGTCCGTCCGCGTCGTCTCGGCCGTGCAATCGCATCTTTGGACGTTATTTAACACTAGCGCAACGAGTTTTGTTCCGAATTAAAAGCATCGCCAACTATTTTAACTATTATTGCACTCCGCGCAAGTGCCTATTACAGCAAATTTGTAATTAAAACAAAACATAAATAAAAAAGAGGCTGCTGCCGCTAAAGGAGACAGCCAGTGACGTCATAGTCAGCTGGACCAATAGGAGCTGACATGCTTTTGTTTTGTTTCTTTTTGTTTTTTCCTTAGCTCCACCTCCCTGTAATGGGTAGGATTTTGAAATACGCGCACGGGCATTAGTTGATCGAGAGCCACACGAAGCGCGAGTGCGATACCTCCTAGCCGCTGTCGACAGAGGGTGTCGGAGCGATTCGTTGTCGCTCACGGAAAGTGGGCGTTGTGTTCAATAAAGACAGCATGCCAGTGTTTGTAAAGCTATCACTCTTTTATAAACGCTTCTGATGCGATGAAAATCCGACCGGCATTAGGCAGGCCTAGCGAGACTCCGGCGACAATCTTGGCTGCTCAGCCTCCAGCGGTTTCGGCCTTACTCGTGTTACTTGCGGTGCTGGCGCTTTGACATAGAGATCTTTGGAAAGTTGTTTGCGCCTACAGTAGACACCAAATGCGCGTGCGAGCCGTATGCTCTCGCTCCGGCGAGAAGCCGCGTACGGCTCGCCAAGCGTTTTAATCGTATCGCCTGTCGCATACTGGCCGCCATATTGTTTTTAGGGCGTTAGCAGTTACTCGATTTTATTCACCTCCGGCGGCTTAAACCCTTACACGAATAAAGGCGTTAGCCAGAGGACGAACCATTTACACGAATAAGGGTATTAAAATTTTAAGTGTGTGGTAAATACGCCAAAAACGCAGGGAGAAAGAAAGAAGCCTTGGTAGATCTGATCTAATTTGACACATGGTTGAAAAAACCTCGAGACCGTGGGTAAACGACACAACACTAAAAACTCTCAAGAGACGTTTTAGTGTTGGGTCGTTTACCCGCAGTCTCGGGATTTTTTCAACCATGTGCAATGTACACCAGCTCGTTTGCGCCCTTAAATTTTGTGCACTAGTTTGACACCTCGTCGCCAGTTTGTTGTATATCTAAGGCCATGGAGTAATCGTAGTCGTTACGAATAAGCATATAGTACATATAGGAACAACTACTGCATTTACAATCGGGCAGAGCCGTATATGCAGAGAGTTTGGCCATTCGTTGGGAAGTATCGGAGACACATGAGGAGGCGCATTGACCGAAAGCGGGCTGGGCGTGTCCCAGGGCGTCTTTACAAACTGGAATGTGGCCATCTAGAGGCCGGAAAGAATACCGTGGCGGTGGTCGCGAAAAGCAAGCCTAATAAGTCCGCCGGAGTAACTCTCGGTGACTGAAAATATGATGCACGTGATGTTTCAATCACGGTCATTAAAAATCCCGGTGGAAGAGTGCTGCTAGCGAAACGATCGACATAATCCGTACGCCAAGCGCCGAGGGCCGGGAATCTGCCGTCCAAGCAGCCGTCCAAGTGGTCACACTCTGTCCAAGCAAAACAGAGTCAAGCGGCACATTTCTTTCTTACATCTTTCTGCATGATCATGATCGAAACATCACGAGCTTTCTATTCTCAACCATGGAGGGCTACCACCTTTACGTGCTTATTAACACCATATACCAATATATACATTTGATTGAAACAGATTCTCCCTACACCGCCGCTAGGATATTCTTTTAAGCTTCTTGTTGGCCAAGAGAGCATGTCAAGCCCACTTTCTACGTCTCTTGCACGCCCTGGCTCTGCCCGCGCCTTCCATTGACCAAACTTTCTGTATACATGGCTCTTAATCAGGGTAATTCCGGTATTGGCAGACTGCAGCGTTCGGCTGGCTCGCTTGCTCGCGTCGGTCACTTTGAACTTGCTTCTACCTCATCGTTTTGCGTACCTACTCTTGGACTCTATAAAAACGCCTCCCCCCCCCCCCCCCCCCCCCAAACATCACGACACGTCATTGTTTCTAAGGTGTACAAAAACTGGCTGCGAAAACCACAATTGTTGGTTGTCTATGAATTGCAGTAGCATTCGTCATGAGGCTCACGACGCAGCTCACTGTGAATACAACAATGCAAATTTTGACTGAACACTTTATTTTACGGCTGGTTTAGGATTTAATCATTGACGTCAGCGTGACTGCAGTGCGGCACTTGGAAATTGAGCGATTGCTTCGCCTTTCTGTAAAGGTTGTGGGCACCCTGGCTGCTTCCCAGCCCAGTTGCCCGACTGCGAGGCAAAGGTGCCGAACTTCTCTCGCGTGCGACGACGTCACGCAAGCCATGCGCGCATCGGATGCGCCGCCTTGATAAGGCAGATCAAAGACGGCGCACGGGGAATCGCTGCCTGGACTCAGGCGCCGCTGGTAACCATGTTAATCGTCTCGTCCATGTCCCATTAAATGTAGTTGCTTGTTGTTGAAACCGTTGGCTCTGTGTTATTTTTCCGGGTCGGGTATGCCGCAAGGCAAACCGACCACAAGGTTTAAGCTTTCGTCTCTGTGTGATCCCTTAATGATCAAGCTGTTTGCCGACCATCATTGCAACCTCGTGTGTCTTTCTTGTCCTGTCTATCTGTAATCCTTTAATGTTCAATCTAGTGCCACCAAAAACTAAGCTTCAGAGTAACGGTACTTGTCCATATTGTGGCTTAAAATCATGGCTGCCAATTTTCTGAAGCTTTGTCTGAAATCTCAGAAAACGTATTTCTGCCCTCCTCAAATGTTTTAGCAGCTCGTGACAGAGCAAAGAAATATTACAGGAGCTTCCTCACACCGAATGCAATGCTAAGGAAGCCGCACTTTTCAATCAAGAAAATCGGCAGTCGCGTCTGCTGTGCACAAGTAACCAAGATGGTGGCGGCCTCATCAATGCAGGGGTAGAGTGGTCGGGGAAGGGAGTGCCGATACTCTAAGCGCAGCTCATTTAGTGGCTCTAGTTTAAGCTGTTTCACCACCATCGTTCACCATGCACCAGCTAGCTCAACTCAAACCGATAATTGCCTCTTAGCTTGGATGAAAATGTCAATGTGTGCATACTACCGCTTGTCTAGGCTTGTCGTCCTCGACGTTGTCCTGTAGAACGACGTCCCGGAAGACGTCGTGGAGAACCTCTAGGGCGCTCTCAAGGACGACCTTTAAGGCCACTTGAAGGACGCCGTCTAGGGCGACATCAAGGACAACGTCTAGCACGGCGTCAAGGACGACGTCTAGTACGACCCCCTAGGACAACCTCTCGGCGATCTCAAGGACGATGTCTGAAACGACCTCTGGGACGACCTCTGGGCCGATCTCAAGGACGACCTCGAGGACGACCTCGAAGACGATCTGAAGGACGACCTCTAGGACGACCTGTAGGACGACGCCCAGCGCCTGCCAATACGGATGTGCTGCTTATGCGGAGAAGCTGCGCCGCCACGAGGGGCCTCCGCATATGGGCGGCGCACACGCGCGCCGCTCATAGGCACGGCGCTTTCAAGATCAAAGAGCGTATCGCGAAAACCGGATGACGTAACTACAGAACGCTATCACATTAAAAATGATGCATCGCATGATAATTATCACCACGTTTTGTGAGAAATTGTAAGAAAATCTTTATTGACTACAGTTCTGTTTTTTTATCCTATTACTAAAAACCCAGTTTTTCGTTGAAGTATTTGGCATCGGCCTGGATACTTGACCGCTTCATGACTCGTAGACGCATTCTCCTCGGATGCATATCTGAAAAAAAATTGCATCGATTTAACTTGCACAACTTAATTATTGACATCTATGTTCACAATGGCAGGCTTTAATTCTAAGAAGGGCAGTCAGAAGTAGTGATTAGCTTTTTACTTTTTTTGTTTGTGTATAATTTATATGCTCTCATGGGGGGTTCGATCTTTTTATTTCATGTTCAATTTTTGCTGAATTATTCGATGCACAACGAGCCACACCTTTAATATAATATTGATGGTTTTTTTGGCATACTAAGACACCCTGGGTATCGTTGGCTTTACGCCGATTGCGTGGTCCAAATCGTTTGCCTGCCGAAATATCCGCTGAATTTCTTCATTTTAATTTGCTCATACTATTACCATCGGCCATGTTTTCCTTTAAGTCTAACCTACCGTCGTCCTTCCGGAAAATCCTACTTCCTTTTTCGCAATTATCATGTTATGGCTTGGAAAAGTTCTCAGCATACATTGTTTATAAAAGAAGCTCTAATGTGCTAATTCGAGCAGTCGCCCATAGGTTAATTGCTTACCCATGATGCGAATGCACCTTTTAATGCTAAATTTATTTCAATGCGGGCAAAGTTAAGATTTGTGTCACGTCACCGAATCCGTACCATATGCCGTTGTCTCCTAATTTTTGCGGGCTAGCAACTCGTCAATTTAGGGTTGGGCAGTTTCCTGATACATATCTATTTGGAGAGTATTTTTTCACTACGTTTTATATTTGTATTTCTGCATCGCGGTACCATGTGCCCACCTTTATTTCGTATGTCTCCATTAAAATACCTATTCAGGTGTATTCCTGGTATAACGATACTATGAAGTTCCGACCGTTGCCCTCTAAACAGATGCTCAAGCAAAGCCTAGGGTCTCAAACTAGACCTCCAAGCAGACCGCCGTACGCACGTTCACCACTCGTTTCGTTTCGCTCCACTCCGCAAAAAAAGAAAAAAAAGAAATTAAAAATGAGGGAATTCAAGGCTGATATTCTCTGTTGTTGAGCGCAGCGCACGCAGCGTAGCGCAGAACGTAGACCTTCGATTGGCCGGCGAGCTGGAACTCGATATCTGTGGCCAATCAGTAGCTGTGTGCTCCGCGCTCCGCAGTGTTTGCTACGCTCGACGTCTAAGTATAACAGAGCCTTTAGGAGGGCTTATTTTAGAGCTCCGTTTACTAGAAGAAGCTTGTGCCGTCACTTCATAGCATGGATTAAGCCCGCGCCCGCTGCTTTCCGCGGTGTACGTTCTACTTAGAGAGTTTTAGCAGATCGTACGCAGTCGAGAGCGGGTCCAGCGGAGCTCTAGCGCTCGATCAACTATAATTTGTTCACCCTTAAGCTGCAACAAGAAGCTCCGCCTTCAGCATGAGCTCGCTGGCTTTCGCAGTTTTTTGGTTGCGCGGGCCTGCGCGTTCATACTTGCTTTAGCAAGGGCATAAAACTCACGCGGAAGGCGGACCTTCTAATGTGAACTAGAGGGTGAACGTAATATAAAAGTCCGTAAAATAGGACTTTAGTAGATCAAACGCTGTGGAAAGCGGGCATGCTTTGAAGTAAAGGCATCAGCTTCCGCAATAAGTGTGTAGTACCTCTATACTCCCTACACCCTTAAGCTCAGACGGCAGGATATGCCACAACCACGAGAGCGAGAGGTCGCTGTTTTGAAGCATTCTTCCGGAGAAGGAACACTCGCGCTATAAACGCATGTATAAAAGCCAGGAGCGCGGGCTATCTCTCACTTGTACTTTTGGCTACAGTCTCAGCTTAATTGCGAACGGAGTATAGAATACAGTCTTCTAAAAGTACCTAATCTCAGGTTCGAGCTTCCGTCAAGCCTCGTTGAAACCGTCAGGGGTTATCCAGTCGACCCCTTCCCGATCCCAGCGTCGACCGCCGCACCGACGCGTCCGAATTCAACAAGCGTTGCCAGGTTAACTTCAGCAGTCGGTATTCGGATTATGATGTACTCTGTGTCGGGCTTCAGACTGTACGTTAATGTGTGAATTCACTCAGCTGACACTTTGTTGCCATGGTGACGCTGACCATAGCAGGCGAACTTAATGATGCGAAGGACACAGTGGGGTGGCGAGGTGAGGTGCGTGCAGGGTCTTCCGCCGAGCTTTTCAAGGGCGCAGCGTGAACAAAAATAGTTAAAAAAATGACTTAACGCGGATGGCTGATTTTTTATCCTCTAATATCTTGACCAGTTTTACACAAGAAGAAAGAAACAACAACAACAACAATAACAACAACAAAAGAAACAACGTGTTTTTATCTTGCAATTTGGAAAAAAAATGTTTTCAACCGCAAAGTGGGGCTGAATGACCGATGTGCCCACTTTTCAGTCTTTCTATTGCTTTGCCTTGGTTCTACTTCTATAGTAACTTTCGACATTACTTAAAAATTTAGGTATGCTATGACTCCGTGAGCTATTTCGGTAAAGGGTCGAAAGTCATGTGATGGCAAAAAGGGCTCTTTGGCGTTGCATTTTTACGTACTTCCCTCCAGCGTTCCGATTGGGCACTGCAGTCAATCATTTGACTCTTTACCATGTTTTGACGAAAATACCTATAGTTTAAGTTTAATCATTCCATGGGTACACTCGCTAACCTTAGACAGATGTGGATATAAGTAATTCATGTTTGTATAACCTCTGCGAGACTAACTATACCTCTAAATGCTTGGAAGACCCAGCAGGAGAGTAATTGCTATTTTGAGCACATGCTTTAAAACTTTTACACGCAATCTGTTTAAGGTCTTGGATCTCCGTAGAAAGCGTGAATAAAAGCTATTGAAACCGCCACAAAAAATGTGGGACGAAATTCAGGAGAAATTAACTATCTCCTGAAATTAAAATACCTATCTTTTCTTTTGATTTAAGATCTTCTGAAATGAAAACAAAGATGCAAAGAAACGTTGATAGGACAGAAAGCAATCCCGAACATCGCCTGACGGGAATCGAACCGAAGACACGAACATTTCATCATAAAGCTCTTGGACTTCCGGGACAAGATGGCTATATTCAGAAACGCTCCCAAGCTAAAAAACCTGAACATTAAGGTATGGATAGAAAACGACTATTCTCCGAAGATAAGCCTCGCACGTGGCAAGCTTTGGGGATACGGCTCTACGTTTCGAGCGGACAGGATGAGAACCAGACTTGTGCACGACAAATTGTACGTAGGCGATAAGGTGTTTGTTTACGACGTTCAGAGCGAAAGTGTGACTGAAAAACACTGTGTCAGCGGAACGCGCCCTTGACTACCTCCCGCAAGGTCACCTGATCCTGCCTCCCATGCACACCAACTTTCATTTTTGTTCACAAACTTTCGCAGCATTTTTAATAAACAAGATATTTTACTTTATCATGTGCGCATGTGCAATTCTCAGATTATTTTAGGCACAGAGACATGGCTGAATAGTGACGTTCCAAGTGAACTGCTTCTTGATGCAGATTTCTCTATATACCGTAAAGATCGTACTCATCGCAGAGGAGGAGGCGTTTTGATTGCTATTAAAGGTTTAGAGTCTGCTGCTGTGACAGTCACTACTAATCTTGAGCTTCTATGGGTTGAAATTAAAATATCGTTTCAAAAATTTGTGCTGGGTGTGTGTTATCGCCCTTCAGCTCTGGAAGAGATTTTGTTGATGAACTTGGCACCAGCTTGGAAGAAGTGTTTTTGACTTATCCTGACAACGTTATCATCCTAGCAGGAGATTTCAACTTTCCCGGCATTAACTGGGCGGACAGTTCTGTTGTTCCTTCATGTAATAGCCCCTTAGAGTGTTTAGAATTTATGCACCTGCTTTCTGCATTTGGACTTCATCAACAAATTGCTCAGTCAACACGTGGCGATTCAACATTAGACTTGTTTTTTATTACTCATTCTGAACATATCTCTTCCATACATTTCCTATCGCCGATTAGTGATCATGCCCTCATAACCATCAATCTTTCACAAAAGGTACCAGACAAAGAGAAGACCTCGAAAATCGTTTGGGACTACCCTAAGGCAAATATAGAGGATCTGAATTCCGCTCTCCTCCGGGCATTTGTAGACTTCAAAAACTCCTTCAATGGCCGTTCAGTCGAGGTCAATTGGACTTTTTTCAAGGACACACTGCTTAGCTCCGCGAACCAGTTTATTCCTAAAAAAGATACTTACCTCAAACTCATCTCCCCCCTGTTTCTCGGTGAAAATAAAGCGCATTTTAAATAAGAAAAAACGTTTATACCGCAAGGCTGTAAAGTTAAACACTGATAAAATTTGGCTTCATTTTCACGCGTTTTCCAAAGAGTGCAAACGCGTAATCCAGTCAACGAATCATGAGTTTTTTTAATGTTGACCTAAAAAAGGTACTAACTGAAAATCCCAAAAAGTTTTTGTCTATAATTAATCCTACACCCAGGGGCGCCAAACGTTCTACCGTAGATCCGCAAGATAGCCCATTATCATCCGCGGTAATTGCCTCCAATTTTAACGCGTATTTTGGTGAGATATTTACACGCGAAACTTTTCCAGAAACTTGGCTATCTAGCATCGAAAGCCCAACGGTCATGCAGGATATTTACCTCTTCATAGACGGAATTTCGAATGTTATTGATCGACTCCCTGTGAACTCCTCACCTGGCTGTGACGGAATTAACTCCAGACTTAAAAATAACGAAATATACTTCCGCCAAATTTCTTCTCCTTATTTTCGAGCAATCCCTAGCTTTCTCCCAATTGCCGTCTGATTGGCTAAATGCTAACGTACTACCCATCTTCAAATCAGGTGATCCGAATGAGCTAAAAGATTACAGGCCCATCTCACTGACCAGTGTGTCATGCAAAATTTTAGAGCATATCGTCTTTAGCATAATAATGTCACATTTCCATAGAAACGATTTGTTGTTCTCTAATCATGCATGGCGTCCGCAAAAAACTGTCTCGTGTTACCCAATTATTCGAACTCACCCACGACCTTCATACCAACATGCACTCTTTAAAACAAACTGATGAAATATTCATAGACCTCTCAAAAGCTTTTGATCGTGTTCCCCATAACAGATTAATACTTAAGCTCCTCCATCTAAACATCAGTAGTAACCTTGTCTCGTGGATTCGGGCCTTCCTGTCTCATCGCACCCAATCTGTGATTGTCACTAATGTCACCTCCTCTCCACTGAATGTCATCTCCGGCGTCCCTCAGGGTTCAGTTCTTGGCCCACTTCTTTTCTTAATTTATATAAACGACATTGCTTCTTCCCTCTCTTCCACCTTGAGATTGTGTGCTGACGACCTTGTGCTCTATCGCAAACTTTTTTCCATCAATGATTGCATAATTCTACCAAGACGATCTAGAAAAATTAACTACCTGGTGTGAATCTTGACTCATGACGATTAATCTGGATAAATCTAAAATTATGTCGTTCTCCAGATCAAAAAAATAAACTCACTTACAGCTACTCTATTTCATCTTGTGAACTAGAACGTGTGGCCACATTTAAATATCTAGGAGTGTTCCTTTCTGCCGATTTGTTGTGGAAGTGCCACGTTGACTATATCTGCTCTAAAGCAAATAGAACATTAGGATTTTTAAGACGACATCTTTATCTCGCAGACCCGTATGTCAAACGTTTAGCATACACTACGTTAGTTCGGACGAAACTGGAATACGCGTCCATCATATGGAATCCTCATCAATTGTATCTCATTAACCAACTCGAAGCTGTCCAAACTCGCGCCACTCGTTTTATTACTCGCGTTTATTTTCGAAAAAGCATTTCCTGTCTAAAACAGTCCATATCTCTTCATACACTCAAAACTCGTAGAAAAAACGAACGGCTCTCTTTCATGCACCGACTATACTACAACCCATGGTCACCAAAAACATTTATTTTCCCAGCTCATCATATTTCATCTCGCCTAGATCATCCATGTAAAGTCGAACCCATTTTCTCTTGAACTAACGCCTACAAATACTCACCTCTCTCTCTATGCATTTCTGAATGGAATAGCATGCCCTCAAGCCTGGTGACGATATGTAACCATAACCATTTTACGCAGGAGCTTCTTAAGTTGTTTCAGTAATCTCTGTGTAATGATGCATTCTCATTGTTCTCATTCAATGTTTTTCCCAATTTTTGTGAATTTGATGTACCCCCCTTATGTAATGCCTCACGTAGAGGCCCTTAAGGTAATAAAATGAAAATAAAAAAAAAATGAAATCCATATACACTCTAGCATTGTGTCGAGGGAGAGACTTCTGAAAGCGAATCTGTCACGTCGCTACAACTTTTTTTTTTTTTGTTTATTGATGTCGCCACAACAATATAGACTCATAAAACGTGCTACGTTAAGAAAGGCTCCTCGTCTCTCACGCGCTAGGAAGAAAGAACATTGGAGCTCAGTTCCGTCTTCCTCGGCGTCTGGCTTCCCGCGCGGAACTTTGCCACGCGCTTTTTGAGCCGTTGTTTCTCATTATTGCAAAGGACAGACCGCATAGGGCAATTTACAATTGAAATGCACTGCAGGTTCTTGCAGGGCAGCACGCCAAGGGTTGGAAAAGTGTGAGTAACCGCGTGACAATATCACAAGACAGTCTCGCGTGATTTGATGTCACGGAAAGGTTTCGAAAAAGCCGCAAAAGGGTAGGGAAGCTAGCAAATCCAACATGTTCTGAGATAGCGACTTCACCCGTAGGATCAAGGTAAATCAAACATATACGTTTCTAGAAGGAATTTAGGCATCTCATGCACCGACAAATTAACCATTCCAAGAGATGCATGCTTCGTGCAGTACTTGACAAAAATGATGGTGCATGTCTCAGCTAAGATATGAAGACGCCGAGTTTATTTTCGTTTCAATTAAAATTACACTTTCCGTGGCATACGACAGAGACAGTAACACGAACTTCGCTTCAGGGTGGCCAGATTGAACCGCAAAGTTTCAGGGCCGTGATTAAAATTCTTAATTTAATGGTAGCGCATAAAACAAATAAAGTTTGGGTTTTTGACTTACCCCGCCAACATTGCTGCATGGTTCTCTGTTCGTTAGCAGTAGAATAAAAGTCCGTCCACCATTTTTCCGGGCATGACGGATGTAGCAGGAAACGTAGCACTGAGATAAGTCAAGTGCAGACTACAAAGAAAAATGTTTTACAGCTTACAAAGGACACAATATATGAAATCGAATGTTTAGTGCTTCTTAAATTATTTTTATACTCACAATAACCCTCGTGTTATGACGCTGGTAACAAAGCTCCTTCAACGTCTGAAGGAATTCTCCTTTATTCCCCACGAAGCTTGGAAGGTTTACCACTTCTACAGCACCGTTTACCACGTCAGCTGGAACAACAATGGTAGTGCTGTCATGTGCATTTAATAAGGATTACGTATCAAAACCGCGGTAGCCAATCAGAACCAGTGAGTGAGAACGTTATCGGCTGAATCGAGTGGTATACAAAGCACATTTTCAATCAACGTAGGTGTTTGACGAAGGTAGCAAATATAGTGTGTTTCAAACGCTGAGACGTCTTGTGTGCTATCCACTTTTTTGTCCGTTGTTTCGGGTTTAAAAAAGAAGTGTAACGTCAACCAGCTCACATGCCTAATCACTCTATCGTGGTTCTAAAGTTTGCCGTAAAAATCGGCGGCTGCGCGTAGCAATTTAGGCCTTTCATCAAAGACCTATTTCATAGGTGGATTTGAGCTCGTAAAATTCCAGGGCGTTTATCCCTTTCTGTAAAGGATAGAGCCAAAACACTTGCCAGGGTTAACGGCGGACGGCGACGCAAACGACCGAGTCGAGTGGCGGGGTGCGTTTGGGCGCACGTATTGATAGATGCGTCGAAAGCAGCGTGTAAGATGCAGCCGACCAGCTAAAGAAAGCAGACGACACGCAGACGACATCCGTCGGCATCAAGTGCGCCGTCGTTATGCAACCATGTTTTATTTTGTTACTTTTGTTACAAGCCACAATTATTCTTCTAGTGGAGGCAATGAGCTTAAGAAATACCCTCCAGTCACAATTTCCAGCTAAGGATGTATTCAAGTATTTTAATTAGGCTCGCCAGAGTTAAATTCGCGACTCTTCGTAACTTAAAAGGCAAAGCACGTAACTGTATCGTCGCGGCGACATTCAGAACGCACTCAAATCTTTTTTTTGATTGGTGTAAGAAAAGCTTCTTTACATATTTACAAATTGTGTGGCGCGCAGGCCACACTGAGAGACCCTACATTATGCTTATCTAAACACGTGTGTGGGGGGGCAGTATGACCCTGCTCTACTCACTATGAAAAACCTATATTGCCATCGTTGAAGGAATTCCTGCACTCTAAGCGTCTACAGTTCACTCTAACAGTAGTCCACTATCTACTCGGGCAACATGGGAAACATTGGGAACATGGGCCTCAAACGGCGACGCTGACTCTTGGCCCTACATCTGTACTTCCACAGGAGTCAGCGTACTAGTATCACAACCAGTTTCTCAAAGCGATTGTGTGTACGCCTTTGGAAATGGGTGCACATCCCAAACGGTCCAGACACAAGAGTGAAGAACGTACACGCAACTACACAAGAGGTGAAAACATGCTCATTTGTCTCTGGGCAAGTACAGTGGGGGAAGATGTCTGTCGCGGTAACGCCTCAATGTTACAACTTATCCCTGGTGGGCAACATTCCATACCCGTACTTCCAGCCAGTGTCGGCAGCGTCGGCTGGTACGTCTCCGGTAAACATGCGATCCCAAATTACGTGGGAACTTCTTGTTTTGTGTCGGACAGATACGCCAGCCCCGCAAAGTGTTTCTCACATTCGTGACGCGGGACTCTCCTGAACGTATACAGTGGGACACTTTTCAGTCAACCGACGCTATTATCGCGACGAGAGAAACATAACAAAACGAGGGAGTCTCCCCGGCAGGACACAGGTCGCCAAGCACCTGGTCGCGTGCCACGTCACAAGTGTTGTCCTACGTGACGTCACAAGGGTAAATTTAGCGGAAATATTTTCCGCCAGGATTAGCGGAAAGATTTCCCCGCTAAATTTAGCGGCAATTTTAACGTTGCGCATAACATCACACGTAACGTCATGCGACGTCACGCGCAACGTCACGGGATGTCATACATTACGCGCTTCCTATAATGATGTCACACGTGATGTCACACGTGATGGTAACGTCGTGACGTTACCCTTGTGACCCTCACGAGGGTCACGATGGTATTCCTCGTGATCCTCGTGAGGGTCACCCACGTGACTTTCGTGAGGGTAACCCTCGTGACCCTGGTGAGGGTAATTCTCGTAACCCTCGTGAGGGTAACCCTCGCGACCCTTGTGACCCTAGTGAGGTTAAGCCTCGCTGATCTCTATAAAAATTGCTGGATCGTGTTCACCCGCTCCGCGAATGTGGCCACTGGTGCCCATCTTTTTGGTAAAGTTATATTACCTCTAGCCAAGGTACAGCTGCTGCAGCCGCTATCATCCATCCATGGCATACATCGTTGTGGCAGTTGTGGTAGCAGGCTGATATCAGCATAGCGTGAGTTATATTTCGTGCTTGATTAAAATTTTTTGACGAAACATATTTTTGAAACCCAGAATGAACGGTAGCCCGATTCTTGAGGACCCGGTGAAAGTTTTACGAAATCGCGGCACCGAGGAAAAGCAGGACAGCACCCATCCAAAGTCGCATCGAAAGAAGCATCGAAAGCAGACGCCGGTACGAAGTCTGCTTTCGATGCGAGCTGCGCTGCTTTCCACCGGTGCTGCGCTTTCGTAGAACTTTTGCCGGGTCCTCAAACGTGAGGCTACCGTTCACGCTGTGTTTCAAAAATCTGCTTCGTCAAACAACTTAAATCAGGCACGAAATATCACCCACGGTACAGTGTACTAGATCCACAGCTATTTTGTGGCAGCCTGCCGCCGCAGCCGCCATTGCGTTGTCCGCCATATTAGTATGATGGCTAGAGATAATATAACTCTATAAAAAGACGGCCGACCGTAGCCCTATTCCCGTCTATAGGCGGAGGTGGTCAAGCGCGATCCAGCAAATAGACATAGAGATCAGTGGCAAGCCTCTTAACCCTCGTGAGGGTAACCCTTGCAAACCTCACGACGGTAACCTTCGTAACGTTACACGTGACGTCACGTGTGACGTGATTTTGGGATACGCGCTATAATGCAACGCGCGGTTACACCCACATCGACGCCGTCGACGCCGCTCAAGCAGAAAACGGGCGCCTAAGAGCTGTGCTATAAAACGAACAGCCGAACAGTAACTTTTTGCTTGATATGACGGTGAAGTGTTGCTTTATGCCATTTGATATGTCCCGTTTTAGACAGGCCTTTAGACTACTTCGAAATGCAGTAGCACTGCGTGTCCTTTATGAATAATTCTTTAAATAACCCCAGGCAAACGTCGTTCTCTTCCCTCCGGTGTACTCATTGTGTTGCCGTTTCTTTTCAGACTATGGGCAGGAGATTCAACTGTCGCGTCCCTACCGGCTAAGCGTAACACTGCACAGAAGGAGCTAATACCATCATGTATAATTTTTCAATTTTTCACCCAACGTTTCGTAACATAAAAACACAGTTCTATAAATATTTTTTTTTAACCAGGGACACGAAGTGTATATCTCCCTAAAAGCGAAGAGTCGCGTACTTGTGTTTAAGCAATGTGCGAAGTGAAAATGGAGATAAATTTCGTCTACGCCGACATGTTTCCAAGAACACCCAAACAAAGGAAGAAAAATCGAGTATTTACCACACTGATAGGCCAGCACAAAGACCAGAAATACGCAAGCGAGTCGAGCCATGTCCTCTGTATCTCGTTCTAGAGAGGAAAAAACGATATCAACGGTCAGTAAGGAAATATATAGAACAACAAATATTGCGTTATTAATTTACCATTTCCATTTAAGTATTGCTAGCATTCGTACGGCTGGTATTGTTTTGTGTGGGTGTGTGTGCGTGTCTATGCGTGAACCTCTGTAACAAATACAAAGTTAGCACCATTGGGTAGGCTGTTGCATCAGTGTTTCTAGTACAATCACTTCACGTTCAACACTTTATGGTAACGTCGAAGGTGTCTTCGCGCTTTTCGTTCATCTGTCTTGTTGGCTCAAAATAGAGTCGCGTAAACGTGATCCAGAAAAAAAAAACATTGCCCTCTCCGGTTGGCTTCAGCCAAATTTGTGCATAATTATAATGGTCAATTCCGGAAAGCATTTAATTTTAAATTACTTAAACCTTTATAAAATCTTTACAGCCGAAATAAACTTTCTCGCTGATGCCCAGAACCGGGCACGCATTAAAATCAACTCATTTTTATTTCTCGTAGCTGTTGTTAGCGGCACTCAGTACGTTATTTCACAATGCGCCAACATCAGGTTCGAAGCTTTTGCCGAAACTGTCTTATGCAATGTGTAAGTCAAAGAGAGGAGAAACAAAATTACACCATCTTCCCGAGGGGAACTAAGGGGTGATGCGGAGCGTCGCAGATCGTTATTAACGGTGTTAGCAACGTTGTTAGTAACGTTGTTAACTTGCGTGTTATTACGTTGTTAACTTGCGTTGGTTACCACACATCGCTTGAACGTTGTTGGAAACTCCGCGATGCTCCGCATCACCCCATGGTTCCCCTCGGGAAGATGGTGCAATTTTGTTTCCGTTTCTTCTTGTGGGTGCTCCGGCGGCGGGGAGTGGAGGGGGGCTCTCTCGTCGTCCCCGAAAGAGCCTGCCGCCGGCAGCAGCCAGCGATCGGCTCAACAGCCGCGCTGCGCCGACGAGCTCGCTCGCTCGCCCCGAGGGTCGACAGCCCTCCCTCCCGGCGGCCGAGGAGGAAAAGCGCGTGGACACACGCCGTCGCTGATGCTGGCAGAGCTGGCAGCAGCGCACACCAGAGAGAGAGAAACAGCGGTGAACTGAACGCGCGCAGTGAGGTACCGCAGCTTATATTCACACTTGAAGGAGAGGAGACTAGAGGAGGAGAGTAGCGCATGCGCGCGCGGTGTGAGTAGAAGCGTACGCACGCGAGGTGCACGCAGCTGGTAGAGAGAGAGAGCGGAGAGGAGTAACGCGGAGCTGTTGGAGAGAGTGAAGCAGGAGAGTAGCGCATGCGTAGTGTGAGTGCGGACTACGACACCGCGGGACATAGCGCCCGAGCAAGAGATGCTCCGTATCTAAAACGCGTCGCGAGTGAGTAATCCCGTTTGCCAAGGAACTCCAAACTCGCAGCAGTTCTGCGGACCGAACTGGACGATGCATGGGCCGTGATTTCTTTATCCGTTGGAACTTGGAACCAGTTGCGTCACTAGGGTCCGCAGCACCCGAGGCGGTAGCACACCGCGACCCCCCCCCCCCCCCCCTCTCCCCCGCGCTCAATGCCCGCCGCGAAACCCCCCTGAGTGCTGCACACGGGGCAGTCTCCCCCCCTCCCCCCTTGACGCCACTGCTTGGAACACGTCTGGTTGTTATCAAACAAAAAAAAGTGGAATAATAATAAGCACCGTTCGAGGCCTTTCCTTGAAAGCTAAGCTTTTGTTTGCAAAAGAACTGTTGGATTTCCGAAAGCTATAAACAAGGTAAGGCGGCGGTTTCTACGACTAGCAGACGACGGCGGGGTTCAGCGTTCGAATACCAGACCCTGACGCCACTTCTTCTCCCCCGGGAGGGGCAGACAACGTTCTTGCGTGCTCTTATCGGAGGGAGAGAATATGTGGAGGCCGATACAGGTAGTCTTCGCGTCAACTTACTATATTTATTTCATATTATTTGAATAAGGCGTGAAACACTTCTTAACGGAACCCCCGCAGTCCCAAAAGTTTGTCCATCTGTGCATTTGTAGTTAAATTTAGCGAAAACATTCACGTCACGTGACCTAACGTGACATATACTCCAAGTGGAGAATTCGACGTCACGTCACCCATACGTCAATTAGTTTCCTCGATACATTTAGCGCGGAAATTGATGTCACGTGACATTTGCATCAAGTGAAGGAACTAACGTAACGTGACCTATACGTGAATTCAATTCCTCCGCTAAATTTAGCGGAAAAATTCAGTTGAGTTTCTCCGCTAAATAACACGAACAAATTGACGTCATGTGACCTAAACAGCAATCCAGTTTTGTCGCTAGATTTAGGAGGGATATCGATGTCTTGGACTTCATGTCATGCAATCCGTAGAAAAATTTAGTTTTTTCGCTAAATTTAGTGGCAAAATATACATCACGTGACACACCAATTCCCTCTCCTCATTCCTCTCCTCCCTTCCCCTTCCCTTTTTCTCTATCCTTGACTTTATTAAGAATACAGTGTTTAGTCCGGAACGACTGTTTAATAGGGAGTTTTAGAATAACGTACGCACTTTTAGCGCAGGCTAGAGCTCACTTTAGCGCTTGGGTTAGCACACGCTTTGCAAGAGTGTTTAGAATAGAGTTTCTCCGCCGCGACGCAAAAGCCCAAGTATCTCACGGTCGCAACGCCACCAAGATACACTAAATCATTTTATTTAAAAAATCCAAGCTTTTTGGTTTAGAGTAACGTATTAGGTTTGTTTAAATATAAGAATGCGACGGGAGCGGTCGAGCGATCGTGTCCGCTTCCGTTGCCTCGGAAAGAGAGGTCTCGTGTATGGACTTTCGCCGCCTTCTCCGAGAAACGTTCTCGCGTCGAAAGCAGCAACTTGCCGGCGATCGTTCCTCACCTTGCCGAGTCTTGCGAACCGTCCGAGACGTGCACCTCGCGTATAGTGCAATGGCGTCCTGCATTAAAGCGCAGTCACGAGGATGCTGCCTATGTCGCGCTCTCGACGCCGCCAAAGCGGCCGCAGTCGCGGTCGGGACGGAGCCGCCATTTTTTAACTGTGCTTTTTTTGTCTTTAGCCAACTTCTTCATCACGAATCCTTCTTGGAGGAGCGCAAGGACTCTGAGCTCGCACGCAATAACTGAAAAATAGCATACGCTAACATAGCACACGCAACGTGCAAATCGCACGTACCGTTCGGCGCATGCGCAATGGCGACGACGCTATTTTTTCATACCTTAATTGTGTGGTGAAACCCGATTAACGTATTGTTAACGTAGAACGCAATTTTGGGAGTGGAACACAATTTTTGGGATAGAACATACTTTTGGGGCAAGACGTAAAACGTAAAACAGTAGACGCAAAATCGAGATGAAAAAATATTACGGTTGAATAAAAAATATAATCGAATGTTCCGGCTACGATGGGTGGCAGCACACACTCATTGGCTGACCTACACTCCGTTCACCAATAAGCTGAGACTACGGTGGAAGCTACGTGACAGTCGGACCAATCAGCCACCTCCCTTTAGTCACACGCCCCGGCTATCTCTCCCCGTGGGTATGGGCGGGAGCGTGTTGACGTGTCGAAAGAGGGGCGCATGACTGGTCCAACAAGAACCAGTCATGCGACCCGCTATATATAATTGATCGACGGCTTTCGGATCGCTAGCGAACAATTATTCGAGAGCTACACTATAGTAATGCCAGTACCTTGCATTTGAGTGGCCGATGCGCAAAAGCACAAAAAAAAAGAATTAAAAGTGAAGTTTGATCATTTCTATGAAAAGAGTGACGCCACCAGCGTCTCCGAGCTTAGATGATCGCAGCTAAGAAGACTGTGCTCGACTACTTCGATATGCTACCGACAGATGGCGCAACGTGAGAAAGGAGAGGCTGATGCGACTCGACCGACTATCTCCCCGTATAGCGACAGGTGGCAGGCAACCTGGCCATTGGAGCACGTAGAAATCAAGGTAACACAAAACGCTTGAAAAAAAGCCGTTTACAACTCCCTGTAACGCCAAATTAGAGCGCAGCTCTTGAGGAGGAGGAGGGAAGGGTACTGGGGGGGGGGGGTCAAGGGACCTTGGGTGGAGGTCACGTGACCTAGGGGGGTCACGTGACGATGACGATGCTGATGACGTCATCAGTAACGATGACGATGCGGATACCGATGACGTCATCAGTGATGATGACAATGTCGATGCCGGTGACGTCATCAGTCATGATGACGATGACGATGCAAATGCCGGTGACGTCATCAGTGACGTCACTGATGACGTCATTCGCGATGATGACGATGACGATGCGGATGGTGATGATGACGATGACGATGCGGATGGTGATGACGTCATCAGTGTGATGACAATGACGATGCGGATGCCGGTGACGTCATCAGTGATGATGACGATGACGATGCGGATGCCGGTGACGTCATCAGTGACGTCACTGATGACGTCATCTGTGATGATGACGCTGACGATGCGGATGCCGGTGACGTCATCAGTGATGATGACGATGGCGATGTGGATGGTGATGATGACGATGACGATGCGGATGCCGGTGACGTCATCAGTGACGTCACTGATGACGTCATCAGTGATGATGACGATGACGATGCGGATGCCGGTGACGTCACTGATGACGTCATCAGCGATGACGATGCGGATGCCGGTGACGTCATCAGTGATGATGACAATGACGATGCGGATGCCGGTGACGTCATCAGTGATGATGACGATGACGATGCGGATGCCGGTGACGTCACTATGACGTCATCATTGATGATGACGCTGACGATGCGGATGCCGGTGACGTCATCAGAGACGTCACTGATGACGTCATCGGGGGACACGTGACCCCGGGGGTCACGTGACTTTGGGTGTCACGTGACTTTGGGTGTCACGTGACTTTGGGTGTCACGTGACTTTGGGTGTCACGTGACCTTGGGGTGACCTTGGGGTCACGTGACCCTTGGGGAGGGGTCACGTGACCTTGGGATGACCTTGGGGGTCAAGTGACCTTGG